CCAGCACAAAATAAAAATTTTCATGCTCATGTCATGGAAAATAAGGAAGTTGTGAAGGCTTTAGGACTTCTGGCTACTGCACGCAGAATGTTAAACAGGTGTGAAGATGATTGCAATAAATATTTTACCGTTTTTGTAAAGCATTTAATATAGGAATAATTGATAATGTCATGATTTTTATATACATAATATATTTTTGATGAGTTATTTTGATTCTGGGTGTAACACCAAGTAAAAAAAAACTAAAGTAGTTTTGAAATACTTTATTTAGCCATACGTTTCGGTCTTCGTCGTGACCGTCATTCAGTGGAAAAACTAAAAGATTTTATATGATGTATGAGGAAAATGATATAAAGTTATAGAACTTATATATAAATTCTTACAGAAAAAAATAATTATACAAAAATATACTGCACTATAATAAACCAAGCTATTAATAACTGGAACATATGATTTTTGACAATTTTTTTGTTGCATTCTAGTGTGTACAGATTGACTGACGTTTAAGTACTGAATGAATTGAGTTTACAAATTTTTGTGAAAGTTTATATATATTTATATTTAAACTTGAATTATGTTTGTAAATACTACTACTATTAAATATAAACATGAACAGTTACATTTGAAAAGCAATACTTTTTGGGTAACTCCAAAGTATATTCAAATATTGCATAAAGTCATAATATAATATTTACAAAAAGTATCTAGTAAAATATATAAGAACTTATAGTTGTGGATAACCTGATATCATGTAGTAGTGATATCAATTTTTACTTGAAAATAAAGATCAATAATATGTTTCCAATTGAAAATAGCTCATTTCGGGCACTGCAGTATGAAATGACAATGGGAATCAGCTCACAGACACTGCCTACGCCATTACTACCTATTATTATTACAGCTGATACAAAACTATAATTAACTGATTTTATTTCAAAATGTTATTGAATTCTATTCGACATATTTGGATATGTAGCTCAAATTTTATAATCAGTCTGAATTCTATTAAGAGGTCTGTGACTCATCTTGTAGTTTTTTACTTTTGAAATATACCTTAGTTTTGCATATAATTACTACCAGGAAATCAATCATTTACCCAGTAATATGAATATCTCTCTTCTTGTTATCGTAGTTTGATAAATATTAGAATTTGTCTTGATAAAAAACTGAAATTTCAATGAGAAAGTGGTTTTATTTAACAATCTTAGATAAAACTTATATTTATAGCATAAGTATTAGCTTTTACATTATTAATAATTTACATAAAATAATCCACTATTTCTTTACTTACCGAAATTTGTTCTCGTTTACTTAGGAAGTTACTACATTTATTAGACAATGGAAACCTTATCAATTTCTGTGGCGTAATGAGCGGTCAACTAGGGAGCTTCTAGCTTTGGGTTTGGAAGAATTTGAAACCACTTTGCGAAAATTGGGCGAACTAGATAGAAAACTAGCAGGAGAACCTGATATAAAAACATTTGCAAATTGTCTTGCAATAGACGCTGAAAAATTGAAATTTGGATTATTGACAGAAATTAAATGTAATAAACAACAAATAAATTAAATATTTATATACAATACATACTATTATATATATAGTATATATATATATACATATATATATATATATTTGTATATATATATATATATATATATTTATTTGTATATAACGACGTTTATTCTCTGATAGCTTGCACACATAGCATCGGCCAGGCAATGAAGAAAAAATATAGACGTGAGATGGATTATATTTACGCAGTCATTAAGGAAATGGAAAGAAAATTGAATCGTCGAATTAGAGACTTGGATGATGTGAGAACAATCATGGAAACTTTACGCAAGATACGAGATCAAGAAGTTGACATGGAACTAAAGATTGATCCTATAGAGGTGATATCAGTTGTCTAATTAAATCATGTTTTATATTTATGTTATTGATTATATGAAGGCACTCAATCAAAGATAATATTTGTTACTCAACTAGTAATTGTATATTAACTTGTTTGATATTGATATTAATTGTATACTATTTACTTAAAATTAAGTAAAATAAATTTTTCATTATTTGTATTCACCATTTACTTCTTAATAATTTGCTTATACCTTCATGAGCATGCACAAGTTTTCAACAATTGCTTGTATTGGATATTATAAATAATAATGCAACAAAAACTGGTTAGCGTATTTATACTAACTGTAGTAGTTAGTATAAATTAGTATAGATAGTTTATTTTGCTTGATTTCATATTATTACTTCAACAAGCCATTTATTGATTGACTGCATTGTTAATATTATTTTTAATTTTTATAATATTTTTACTGAATTTATAACTTTTATTTATTGTCCATTTTCTTGATTAAATAAATTTGTAATCACGTTTAATTTTCAGGAAGCTTTCAATATTCTTACAAGATATGGAGTTCCGGCTGAAAGAGAACATTTGGAACTAGTCGATGGTCTCAGAGATACTTGGCAGAGACTGCAATCACGTGCTTTGGATACACATGTTAAACTTTTAGAAGCACAACCCAAATTTGAAGCTGATTTAGCGTCTAACTTAGAAGTATTTAGGTTGTGAACTTTCCAATTGAATAACTAAAAAAATATTTGGTAATCAACTATTTTATATTTGAATTCTATGTTTTCTTTATAGATCCGACAATGCAATGTATGTGCATGAGTATAGAAATGCTGGACCCATGCAACCAGGATTGAGCCCACGTGAAGCATCAGACAGGCTTTTGCTATTCCAGGTAAATATAAAAATATAGAAATATGTAATATTATATAATTTTATTCTTTCATATATTAAGTTAAATATTAATTGATTATTTTGATTATTATTAATTAAATCTTATAATTAATTTTTTATACATCATATTTAACATTCGTATGTTGTTTATTCTCGATGGGTGTGTCTATTCTCAATTTCTATTAGATATTAAACATACACTATTCTGGGCATTTTTCTCTTGAGATACCTCTATTGAACCTGAACATAATATTGATATGATATAATAATATTAATTTTGTAGGCTTTTAACGTTTTAACTCAATTTATTTACATTGATTGATTTATGCCGATTTAAATTGATTACATTGTTTTATTAACCGAAGAGTTTGATTTTTTAAAGTTTTTTATTTATTTATATATATATATATATATATACATTATTTTCATATCTCAGTCAGTCAGAGGTGCCTGGTATAAGAGATTATGAAAAATAGTTTTCATAAAATCATTTTTTGCGACACAAAATTTTACGACACAGATAAAAAAATACACTTACAAATTTAATTTCATTATTAGTCGGTGGTATATAAAACAAATAATAATTTCTAAAATATGTTATTATTCTATCAATCAGAATTATGCATTTTCACAAATTATGTCTCTTCAGAATCGGTTTGATGGAATGTGGCGTAAATTGCAAACATATCAAAGTGGGGAAGAACTATTTGGTTTACCTACAACAGATTATCCTGAATTGGCTCAGATAAGAAAGGAATTGAATTTGCTTCAAAAATTGTATAAATTGTACAACGATGTTATTGATCGTGTGAGTAGTTACTATGATATCCCTTGGGGAGAAGTGGATATTGAGGAAATCAACAACGAGCTGATGGAGTTCCAAAACAGATGCCGAAAGTTGCCAAAAGCGTAAGTCAGTAACTATATCTATTTTATATTAGACGAAATACTATATTAAGAGTAAGCAATCTAAATTTAAGCAATGCATAAGTTTCAAAACTAAAATATATTTTATAAGAGTTTTATAAATAATTAACAGCTCTACAATTTCAGTTTGAAAGAATGGCCTGCATTCTTTGCACTTAAGAAAACAATTGATGACTTCAATGATATGTGCCCATTACTAGAATTAATGGCTAATAAAGCAATGAAACCGAGACATTGGCAAAGATTGTGGAAGTTACAAAATATAACTTTGAACTAGAAAGTGAGGGATTCTGTTTGAAAAATATTTTAGAAGCACCTTTATTAAAATACAAGGAAGATATAGAGGTATATTATAATTATAATTTTACCGACATTTTTTGATAAAAATAAATAAAGTAATATGTTTCATTAAAAGATTTTTTTTTTCAATTTTACAACTTACTAATAAAATATATATAATTAAAATCACAGGACATCTGTATATCAGCCATGAAAGAGAAAGATATTGAAGCAAAACTGCGTCAAGTAACAGGCGAATGGTCTGTACATGAATTAACCTTCATGACATTTAATAATCGTGGCGAATTATTATTGCGAGGAGACACAACTGCTGAAACCATAGGACAACTAGAGGACAGTTTGATGATCTTAGGATCATTGTTGTCTAATAGGTTAGAGTATTCAAATTATTTTATAACATATTTTGATTCAAAAAAAATATATTGCACAATACATAATATTCATAATAATCTATTAATTTCTAATTACCTAAGCCAATTACATGTTATGATAAAAAAAATTATCTTGTGGGCTGCGGCAGATCACTTGGACATTTTCTCTTTAGTCGCCTTAATTTTTCGGCTGATTGAACTAATTGTATTTCAGGATTTGCATGTCTATCCAATTTATCTTGGAAAATTGAGTTTCTGCTGTTAATGATCTCCGCCACTGTGGGTATTTTTGAGTCCTTGTAGATCATATGTTTAGTCATAAAACCATGGAGTATTGCTGATCATTCTTAGTATCTTGATTTGAGTTTTCTGAATTTTAAGAATATTGCTCTTGCTGGTGCAACCCCTCGCATATATTCTATTGATAGACTTGTTTTTAGATGTTTTCATACGTTAATCGAAATTTCTCGATTCATTATACGTTTATTATTATACACATTATAGCAAATCTTGGTATTGCAAATTCTTAATTCAAGCAATTTTATTGCTTTGGGCAGCTGTGTCTATTTACTATGCATGTAAATAAATGCGTCTTCGTGGTTGTGCGGAGCCATAAAACTTAGATGCATTGTCCATACACTTAAGTTTTATGGCACCAGGCGATCATAGAAGATACCTGCTTAAAATGCATAGTAAATCTAGCTCCCAAAAGCAATAAAGCCACATGTATATGAGTAGGAGTTCTCACCGCCATTGAAGCTGCCTCCTAATCTGGAAAATGTATTATTTTTAGGTATAATGCGCCATTTAGAAAGCAGATACAACAATGGGTACACGATCTTGGAGGAACAAATGAAATTTTAGAACGCTGGCTTTTGGTTCAAAACAGCTGGGTTTATTTGGAGGCTGTATTTGTTGGGGGCGATATCGCTAAACAGCTACCCAAAGAAGCTAAGAGGTAAGATAATAGAATTTGCTACTTTTTTGAATAAATTCCAAAAATCGTTTGAAAATAATAAAGGCTAGAAATTTCAAATATCAGAAATGCGCTATAATACTTAATAAATGGCAAATATTATAGTAGTTTAAATAAATGAAAGAATTATTATAACATAAATGGCATATAAGTTAAAATTTAGAAATTGTATAATTACATACAAGTTATTATTTAGAAATTGTATGTTATGACTAATTAAACATTCTCAAAAATGGATTATCACTCAAGATTCTCAAAAATCGATAAATCCTGGCAAAAAATTATGCAACGGGCTCATGAAACCCCAGGCGTAGTTTCATGTTGTGTGGGTGATGATTTGCTGAAGCAACTTTTGCCTCATTTACAAGAACAACTCGAGTTATGTCAGAAATCTTTGAGTGGCTACCTAGAAAAGAAAAGAACAATGTTCCCGAGGTAATAAATATTTTATAATAGAGTAGTGAACAAAGTTTGAATAATAGCATAAAATTGTTTTTAGATTCTTTTTTGTATCTGATCCAGCGCTGCTTGAAGTATTAGGTCAAGCATCTGATTCGCACACTATTCAAAATCATTTGCTGTCGATATTCGATAACACGAGATATGTAAAATTTCATGATGTTGGTAAGAATTTATTTTTTCATTGAATAATAAAAGTATTTTCTAAATATTTTTACTGTATTAATTGTAATTAAGATCATTTTAAACCTATAAATAAAATGTTTAAACTTCAATAATATATTGTATTAGACCAAAAATAATCCCACTTTTTGTTCATAGATTAATTGTATCAAAACATAAAAAATATTTTAAAATGATGTTCATATAACTTTTACTAAACTTCTTACAAATAGTACAACTCACTTTTTTTACGATCCTTTTGAACTATTATTAATTTTTTAAAATAATCGTGGCATTTTTTTATCGTAAAATAAAAACAACTGCTGCTAGAATTGAGCATCAGAATGAACGACTGGCTTGGAGTAAAGAATGCAATTAAATTTGCGATATGGAACAAATATGTGACAAAACTATTTTTAATGGATGAAAATTAATGAATAATTCATTCCACTAATTTTGCATATATTATTTTTGTTACGTCGGTTTTAATTAATCACGATAGTATTCACTCTATAGTAATTTTTGATAAATTGTAATTTTATGAATAACTAGCTCTAAGTGGAATTCTGTCTTAAGGCAATTAGGGCATCGTGCCTTAAGGCAAATTGCTGGAACTTCCCGTACCAAAAATTATTTTTTTTTAAAACGATTAACATTTTTGAAAAAAAATTACTTTGAAAAAATAAGATTTTTGAGAAACTATAATTGGACAAAAAATTAGTTTTATTTTGAAAAAAAATTTTTTTTTTTAAAAATTTTTTTTTTTAAAAAATTTGTTTTTTTTGAAAAAAATTTTTTTTTCTTTATTTTGACATATTGTGGAAGATCTGAACTTTTTTTCAAAGCAATCGTACTGCTTTAACTACATAGGGACAAAATATAAAGCGCGTAAGCGCCGCGTCGCTGTCTTACGCATAAGCATTGGTACGGAACCGATAGGAATGTTAACAAAATGTATACTTATTGTTAAAATCTCTATAAAAGTCTGATAATTTGATGTGCATATGTCTAATGATCATTTTTGACCGCCAAATGGCTCATTTTTTTACTTTTTCCTCTATATCTCCGAAACCGCTGGACCTACCTTCATGAAAGTTGTATCGATTCTTCATCTTGTCAATACAAATAAAATGTTTTTTGAATTATTAAAATCGGACGCTCCGTTCTCTTAAAAACTGAGTTACCGTTTTCGGAACTTTTTGCCCCGTATCTTCGGAACGGCTTGACCTGCCTTTGCCAAAACTAATCAGCACGTCTCCTTATCAATACGGATCGAATGTTTTTTGAATTATTCAAATCGGTTGATCCGTGTTCCCGAAATCGTCGACGAAAATTTGTATCCGCACATACATACACACACATACATACATACATACATACACACACACATACACACACACACACACACACACACACACACATACATCCATTTTTTCTAAGGTATGCCAAAATGTTCAGAAACCTCTGAAACGTAAAGATATATAAAAATTTTCATTTTCGATTTTTTTGCGATTACTATAACTTGCCCTACGGGAAGTTAATAATTAAAATCCATTTTAAATATATGATATCACTTTTGGACTGTATGCAGCTATCATTATTACTATTAAATTAATATATCTGTTTCAAAATCTGTTAAAAGCTACATATAAATATCTTCAGTCGTCTTAACAACAGATTGGAATAAATTTCTTAATATAACAGAAGTAATTCGTTTACTTCAACTAGCGATTATGGATTGAAACTATTTTTACTGGATGTATTGCAGAATACAATAAAATGACTGCAATCATATCATCAGAGGGTGAAACTATACAACTGGAACGAGCAGTACGAGCAGAAGGTTCTGTCGAAACATGGCTTACTTCTCTTTTGCAAACTTCCCAATCCAGTTTGCATGGAATTATAAGAAATGCTTCCGGGATGCTCAATGATCCGAACATAAATTTATTGGCGTTTCTAGATAAAATGCCAGCTCAAGTGATTTATCTTTAAAAAAAATAACTATTTGTTAGTAAATATATGACTTATAAAATTATTTTTCAGGTGGGCTTATTAGGAATTCAAATGATTTGGACTCGTGATGGTGAAGCAGCACTTATGCAAGCTAGGCATGACAAAAAAATTATGGCCGAGACTAACAACAAATTTTTGGAGTTATTGAATACTTTAATTGATCAAACTACTAGAGATTTGACTAAAATCGAAAGGATTAAATTCGAGACACTGATTACTATACATGTTCATCAACGTGATATCTTTGATATTTTGGTAATTAAAATAACATTAGTACATTCAGTTCTCAGAATTAATTTTATGTATATTTGTTGATCAAAATATCTGATTCAGATATCAGTTAACTTTGATAATTCTTAGTTTAGCTATTTATTTTCAATATAAAGTAAACAAATAGCTTTTTCATAACTATACTAACCTTACTTATTTATTTTTTATCTATAATTTAACCGATATTATGAATGCAACATCAATGGCAAATAATAAGGAAGCGTTTTAAGTATCTGTTAATTATATGTACAAAAAATTGTTAAAGAAAGATATTGTAATTAGATTTGTTTCTTTTAAGTACTGGCTTAATTTTTATTTATGAACAAATGCTATAAACCTGAGATTAAGCTAAATTATAGATGTCGTTAGTAAAAATAAGTTACAGAATAATTCATGAATTTACTAGTCCAGTCATTTAAGCTTAAATTAGGTAAGAATCTCGGAATTCGAGTTACCAAGCTGGAAGCCTGTAAATACTTGTATATTGACACCCTAAACATGTCAAACAATGACATGTCGTTTTTTTTCTATTTTTCCATTTATTTATACAACATTACTATATTTTTATAATCACATACTTCCTAAAAGAAATATTTTAACAAACTTAAGAAAGATTTATCAAAATCCGAATAATCTTTAGGAGGAGTATATTTTTCAATACATTATTATAGAAGAATTTTATATATATATATATATATATATATATATATATTTATATATACTAGCCGGCCCGGTAAACGCATGTCACATATAAATGTTCCTGGGACTATTAATATTCAATTTAAGTTTTTTTATATAGTTATTATTTGTGTTCTCAAGTTGTCTCAAAACCTACATATGGTAGGATTTCAATACCATATGTAGGTTTTGAGACAACTTTAGGGTGTCAATATACAAGTATTTGCAGACCTACAGCTGGGTATCTCGAATTCCGAGGTGAACTTACTATAATGACTGGACTATACTTGAAATATTATCTTGGAAAACTTTTATTATTATTCACTACTTTTTGGTTTATTTTTGTGTGTAATAATAGTTTTTTACGTACATAAATTAGATTTGATTTGCAAAAAAAAGTGTTAATATAATTTTAAAATTATTTTACACTTCTCAGTGTCGTATGAACGTGCGATCAGCAAATGATTTCGAATGGCTCAAACAATGTCGCTTTTACTTCAAAGATGATCTTGATAAAACTTGGATTGCTATCACAGATGTCACGTTCTCTTATCAAAATGAATATTTGGGGTGCACAGACAGACTGGTAATCACACCTCTTACAGACAGGTATTACTGAATTAATAAATTTTAAGATAATTTATTGATTTATTTATTTAAGATTTAAGATATTAATTGAAAATTAATTATTTCATTTTTGATTAATTATTTACAACATTTATACACACATATTTATAAATATATCCAAATTTATAACTTTTGCAGATGTTATATAACCCTGGCGCAGGCACTATCAATGAGTATGGGAGGTGCTCCTTGTGGTCCTGCAGGTACTGGCAAAACCGAAACTGTTAAAGACATGGGTAAAACTCTTGCAAAATATGTTGTTGTCTTCAATTGCTCGGATCAGATGGATTACAGGTTAATGAATAATATTATTCACTCTATAAAATCCTAGACGTTCTTTGAAACATGCATTTAAGTATTATTATATAATTATGATCTTCATCATATCTTAGAAGCCCATTATAAGCCACATTAACATGTAAGCAATTATTGATAGAATAATTTAACAAATTTTAATATAATTTTAAAAACTTTAAGAATTTTGAAGAATTTAAAATTCAGTGTTGTTAGACTATAGTCTACTCTATTTAACTTTACGTAGGGTAGGTTATAGTAATCGCAAGAAATTCGAAAATGAAAATTTTTATATATCTTCACGTTTCAGAAGCTACTGAACATTTTGCCATTAGAAAAAATGGATGTATGTGTGTGTGCATGTGTGTGTGTGTGCGGATACAAATTTTTCTCGACGATTTCGGGAACATCGGTCAACCGATTTGAATAATTCAAAAAACATTCGATTCGTATTGATAAGGAGGCAAGCTGATTAGTTTTTGGCGAAAGCAGGTCTAGCCGTTCCGAAGTAACGGGGCAAAAAGTGCCAAAAACAGTAACTCAGTTTTTAAGAGGACGGAGCGTCCGATTTTAATAATTCAGAAAACATTTTACTTGTATTGACAAGGTGAAATACTGACTAAAGTTTTGGGAAGGCAGGTCTAGCGGTTATGGACTCTCAATAAAAATAAGTTAAAAAATGTCATTTTGCGGTCAAAAATAGTTATTGGACATTTGTACATCAAATTATCAGATATTTTATAGAGATTTTAATAATGTGTACACATTTTGTGTAATTTTTTTTGAGTTCCGTACCAAAATTTTTAATTACGGTACGGAAAGTTCTAGCAATTTGCCTTAAGGCACGATGCAATGCACCCCGCTAGTTTATGTCATGTTATTGTTAAGAAAGAAAAACACAGCTGTCTTGAATAATCTGTTAGCAGCCTTTACTCGTCACATTAATTTGAATATTTTCAATTATCCAGAGGTTTGGGACGTATATACAAAGGATTAGCTCAGTCCGGATCATGGGGTTGCTTTGATGAATTCAACAGAATAGAACTTCCTGTACTGTCTGTTGCTGCGCAACAAGTTGCGGTTGTATTGGCTGCTAAAAAAGAAAAGAAGAAAAACTTCATATTCACAGATGGTGATACTATAGACATGTGCCCAGAATTTGGAATATTCATTACAATGGTAAAATTAATAAATAATAAGAAAAAAAAATGTAAAATATTTTATGGTAAATTAAATTATTAACCCTTTCCACTCGCGAATTCCGAGATTTATATGAATTTTGCCGCCGGAGTGACGGCATCCGAGTCGAAAGGGTTAATGCATGTGATCATCTTCATAAAAATATTCAATGAATATTACGTCCAGCATAGAAAATTTGAAACATTCACATTCCAGTTTGATCGACTCCATCCAATATACTAAAATATTAAGCTGGAAATAAGTATCAGATAATACAATATAAATTCAATTTTGCATAATCATAAAGATTTCCAGTGCTATTTATGAAGTTATTTTATCAGAAATATAACTTGTTTTTATTTTCTATGATAGAATCCCGGTTATGCTGGTAGAAAAGAATTACCAGAGAACTTGAAAATACAGTTTCGAACGGTTGCGATGATGGTGCCAGACAGACAGATTATTATTCGCGTGAAACTAGCAAGTTGTGGTTTCCTAGAAAATATAACTTTAGCAAGGAAGTTTTATACGCTGTACAAACTTTGCGAAGAACAACTCACCAAACAGGTAATTATTCATTGATTGATGATCTATGAATATTTTATGGCATTTTTATTATGTGTTTTAAATATTCAACATAGACCAACATCTAACCACACATTGGGATAGTTAATTTTAATTTTAAAATGTATGTAGAAATTTGGAAGGCATACTAATGAAAAAATATTTTCTTGATTGTTTATAATTGTTATGATAATAAAATAATAATAAAATAATAATAAATAAAAATGTTATGAAATTAGAATGTGTCAGACTATTTAAAAATTTATACAGAATGAGAATGCTTTGAAATCTTTTCTACAAATATTTAATTTCGTTTAAGTTTAAATCTTCTGATAGATTTTTGAAAATTCATGATATCACACACACATTGAATTAATGTGATTTAGAACAAAACATAATTATTTTTCTTTTATTATTATATTATGCTCTAATAAAATTTATCTAGTTAAATTATATTACAATTAATATTTCTTTTATAACCAATTTTTACGAACACTTGATATATTTCTCTAATTTTTTTCCAGGTACATTACGATTTCGGTCTACGTAATATTCTTTCCGTCTTGCGAACTTTGGGTGCTGCAAAACGTGTCAACAATCGCGATTCCGAAAGCATGATTGTGATGAGAGTTCTAAGAGATATGAATTTATCAAAACTAATTGACGAAGATGAGCCTTTGTTCATATCTTTAGTCTCTGATCTTTTCCCTAATCAAGCATTAGAAAAAACTTCTTATCCCGAATTGGAAGCCGCTATTCAGCAACAAGTCGATGAAGCTAAACTGGTATACCATCCACCCTGGGTACTAAAATTGATACAGGTAAAAGTTATTTATTTATATCATTATGTGAGAAAAGATAAGCAATTAATATTAAAAAAATAACATACAAAGTAGTAAATAATAGACTGATATTTTAACAAAATAATTTTGCTATTTATGCAATGTTAAAAGTGCAAAATATTTGATATTTATTATTTAAATAATATGAAATTATATATTACATTATAAGTTTATGGACGTTGAATGGTAAATATCCATAAGTTTCGGTGTCGCTCTCATTTTTATTAGTTTTCGTCATTTCAAAATCATTCCAGCATATAACTTATTAAGCAGGACATAATTGTTACAAATGCACGCTGTAATACATATCGAATGCAGTGTTGATTTGCACCGAAATGACTTTTTTTTACTGATTAATAGTTTAATACCAATTGTGAGCAAACGTGCGTTATTATTTTTTCATAAGTAGTTTTACCGTAAATAAATATCATTATAAACGATATCGAATCGAAATCCTGATTTACGCCGTTCTCTCTATGTCCTCGGTAGTATAGTGGTCAGTATCCCCGCCTGTCACGCGGGAGACCGGGGTTCGATTCCCCGCCGGGGAGGATACTTTTACATAGTAAGCAATTCAGTAATATTTTTTTTCCACCTTTTATGACAAGGGCAACTTGGTTTTTGATAATTACTCTTGGGGCGTAAATATTGGGAATACGTCGCTTTGACCAGAAAACCATCTCAACTATTTTATAGGAAAAATTGTAGGTGTACAAAGAGCCCACACTCTTTCAAAGATTGGAACAACGTGTCCTCGGTAGTATAGTGGTCAGTATCCCCGCCTGTCACGCGGGAGACCGGGGTTCGATTCCCCGCCGGGGAGAATACTTTTACATAGTAAACAATTCAAAAATACTTTTTTTTACATTTTATGACAAGGACAACTTGGTTTTTTATAATTACTCTTGGGACGTAGATATTGGGAGTACGCCAACTTAACCAAAAAACCATCTCAACTTTAAGAGAGAAAAAAATGTAGTGGAGTACAAAGAGCCCACACTCTTTCAAAGTTCGGAAAGACGCGTCCTCGGTAGTATAGTGGTCAGTATCCCCGCCTGTCACGCGGGAGACCGGGGTTCGATTCCCCGCCGGGGAGGATCTTTTTGTGAAATTAGTTCTTTTTTGATTTAGTTATATGCTTTTATACTTGAATTTGCTAAAGTATATTAATTAAAGTAATAATGATTCGTGTTTCAACTTTTTTCCTCTTAATTTAAATTATTACTGATATTATACTAGTTAAACATAAGTATAATCTTAACTCCTAATATTAACAATGCAATATAATTTCTACAGTTATATGAAACTCAACGTGTGCGTCATGGTATAATGACATTAGGACCATCTGGTGCAGGTATGTTATATATTGCAATTTGATTACTAAAATTACCTATTTTACCTAAGTTATAAAAAATAGATTATAATTGGAAATACGTTTTATTGGAATATTAAATACTTACATCCATCTAACAAGTATTATCAAAGCTACAGCTTTTATAAGTTTGTTATCTATTCATCTAGTATCTATTTTTACTCTGCTCATTCCAATATCTTATGCAGCTTATAAACTCTAATTACAATAAATTTTTTTTTCATGAAAATGTATCGTTTTCTAGGAAAAACATGCTGTATTCAAATGCTGATGCGAGCCTTGTCTCAATGCGAAGACGTTCATCGTGAAATGCGTATGAATCCTAAAGCAATAACAGCTGCTCAGATGTTTGGTAGATTGGATGTGGCCACTAATGATTGGACGGATGGAATATTCTCTGCCTTATGGCGAAAAACTTTAAAGGCACCCAGTGGTAAATACAGTCTTTTATCATAATTCTTTTAACTCATATGGAACCAGTTAACTTTACATCTATATAGAAAAACTCTGAAGGCACCCATAGTGGTAAATATAGTCTTTCATCATAATTCTTTTAACTTATTTGGAACTAGTTAACTTTACATCTATATAGCATATAGCAGATTTTAAAAACCCGTTTTAATTGTTGAAGTTATTTTTATCTTGAATGTTAGATTTATTCTTTTATACAATCAATCATACTGAGATTATTCATATTCAGACGAAAGAATTTGGTTGGTTTTGGATGGTCCAGTTGATAGCATATGGATAGAAAATTTAAACTCCGTCTTAGATGACAATAAAACCCTTACTCTTGCGAATGGCGATCGTTTAACAATGTCGCCGACATGCAAAATCATTTTTGAACCTCATAATATCGACAACGCATCACCAGCTACCGTGAGTAGAAATGGAATGGTTTACATGAGTTCTTCAGGATTGGACTGGAGACCCAGTAAGTGACAATAAAGTTAATTTTTTCTTTCAACATATATTCATTCGTTTTAATTTTACAGTTGTATCATCGTGGTTGAAGTTCCGTACTGCACAAGAAACGACCGTTTTCCAAGAATTATTTGAATGTTCCTTTCAAACAGTGTATTCATGGTGTACGCAAACTCTTAAAGCAGTTATGCAACTTTTACAATGTAATGTGGTTAAACAAATGTTGGATTTGTTACAAGGACTTGTTCCTCAACAAGTACAAGAAGAAACTAGCGCCGCTAAGAGTGTGTCTGGTGATTTAGATCAAGGTATACCTTTATCAAAATTTTATCTTACACCGGTTATAAAATATATTGATATTATTATGTAAATATAAATTAATATTTAAATTTTTTTTGAACTATAATTATTTTATATTATTATCAAATTAATTTCAAGTGAAGTAAATAATGTTTAATTTTTTTCAGATGACGAACTAACAGATGGAGACAAAGCTGTGCAAATTCAAGCTCCTATTTTATCTGTAGAACACCTAAATAAAATTTATGTTTTTGCACTGACATGGGGTATAGGAGCACCTTTAGAAAATAATGATAGACGAAAACTAGATCTTTATTTAAGAGAAAATTTTGCTGATAATCTAGATCTACCACAACCAACAAAAAAAGAACCAAAAGGTATATCATTAGAATATTCAGGAATTTAAATATAAATAATAATAAAATCTGACATGATTTAATTTTTAGCGACTATTTTTGATTTCGTGGTAAGTTCTAATGGCACGTGGGAACCTTGGACAAGTTTGGTAACTAATTATGTGTATCCTGATATCAGCACACCAGATTTCTTAAGTATCATGGTACCTATTCCAGATAACGTACGTATAGACTATTTGATTGATACTATTGTGAAACAAGAAAAAGCTGTGTTGCTTATCGGTAAGTTATATCACTTATTTTGGATCTGATAATAATAAAATATATATAAAAAATTATATAATAATTTTTACATTTTTTTGCGGAACAAGTATGTTTAGGAAAGTTTTAGACACTTTCTTTTAAACTAATTATATTTTTTCTCTTTATTAAGGTGAGCAAGGTTCGGCTAAAACAGTGATGATGAAAGCTTATATGAAAAAAGCCAATCCAGATCAGTATCTTGGCCGTTCTTTTAACTTTTCTTCTGCAACAAGTCCATATCAGTTTCAAAAAACAATTGAAAGTTATGTAGATAAGCGCAGTGGTAGCACTTTTGGGCCGGCAGGCGGTAAAAAAATGATTGTTTTTGTGGATGACATCAATTTGCCGCAAATCAACGAATGGGGAGATCAAATTACTAATGAAATAGTAAGGCAAGTTATGGATATGAAAGGCTTTTATAGCCTTGAAAAACCTGGAGAATTTACAACTATTGTAGATGTATTGTTTGTCGCAGCTATGGGACAACCAGGTAGGTAAAAATAGTTTGATGCATAAAATATTTATGCTATAGGGAATCACATTTGTTTCAGATATGTTTATTTTCTAAGCACTTATTGTTAGCATAAAGAAAAAAAAGATATTTGTTTCTGAAGCTAGAACATTTTATTATTGTCTTCTAATTGAAATCTTTATTCTATTTTTGTCATTAGGCGGAGGACGAAATGATATACCGTCAAGATTAAAGAGACAATTTTCTGTGTTTAATTGTACTATACCTGATGACGCAGCTATTGATAAAATATTCCGTGTCATGGGCGAAGGGCATTACAACAGCAAACGTGGTTTTCCTCTAGAAGTTAGAAACCTTGTGAAGAAAATAATTCCTCTGACCAGAGTTTTATGGCAAAGGTAACACTGCTAATTCAAATAAGGTATATGAGCAGTATAAATTTAATGAAAGTAGTGACGATAATAAACAAAATATGAATCAAAATATATATATAAATGAACAATAGCATTCAGAATATTTTTACAAATTTCATTTTGTTATATTCATATCAGAAACTAGGTATGGTGGTTAATGTACCCAAGGTATATAATTATTATCGATTTACTATTATTTTTTTTATTCAACAATAGATTTATAACTGTCCTAGATAGACATTTAGTAAATCTTTTGGCGATTAGAGATACAAATTTAATTATTATCGATTTATTATTAATGAAATAATATGTTGTTTTCTAGAACGCGTGCCAAGCTATTACCAACTCCAGCTAAATTTCATTATGTATTTTCGTTACGAGATCTTTCAAGAATTTGGCAAGGACTTGTGGGTACATTATCAACAGTTGTCGATAGCGAATCAGTTCTTCTGTATTGTGGAAACATGAATGCAGCAGGTATGATCCATATATCACACAAATTTAGAAAAAAAAAATATTTGATATAAACAAAACATAAA